CCCCAAAACCCCAAAACCCCAAAACCCCTCAGTTTTAGAAATGATTGAAGTATAAATATTTAAATTCACTAACTTTTGTTAGAAATATGATTATTCGATTATAGCCAGGAACAAAGAGTAGCCCATCCCTCCCCATTAAAGTTAGCTTTGAGTGCTAAAGTTTGCACTAGTGTCTCTAGATGTTTTAAGTGTATTGTAAGATCCTAACAAATGCTTACATTAGTTAGTTATGACATTATTTTAAGGAAATTTTTAATAACTTCATTTTTCTTTACCCAAGCCGCCTACGCTTAGAATACCTTTTCAGATAATTATTAAGCTTCTTTTCCCAATTCCGAGGCTTTTGCATTAAGAATTCTAAAATCTATAATAAGTTAGTAATTCATGAAATTTACTTGTGAGGATCAGTTCTGGATTCGTAGTCTTGGCCCAGCATCAAATTGTCAGTAATTCTGCATACAAGTAGAGCCATCCTCCAATCTTTCAAATATCATAATAGAATAAACTATTTTCAGGCGGTTATGACCCTTAACTTTTGGAACAAGGCCATTTGGAAGGAAGCTGGTGTAGCTGACGAACATGGGTGTTCCCTTTTCGTTCTCTACTTCAAAGAATAGGTGTTTATCCACCGAGTCCATGTTCCCGACAAGTCTATACTTACTTATATTTAGTATAGATTATTCACGAATCTTGAAATATCTTATTTTCGTACATTTTAACAATTTCTTTATCCCATTGAGACCGATGATCTATTTCTGTTACAGCTTCAATTATTCTCCCAAAAGGAATCTTATTAGTGAAATTAAATTCTCAGTGAAGAAGAGGAAGCTTTGAGGTGAGAAAAGAGCCACTTTTAGCCAACCAGCATGTACATTTGGAAGTGTCCTTTTCATATATCTCCCATTGCTCGTCTTCGTCTGTGTCTTGTAACTTTTCAATCAAGGTGAGAATGTAGTCCTGGTTTATCATGAGTCCTTTTTCATATTCGTTCTTAAGACATTCTGGGATATCATCAACTTGGGAGAATTCCTGACCCAGATTAGTCTCAGAGAAGACTTCTGGATAATTTTCCTGTAATTTTGTGCAAAACACATCACTCATCGTATCGCTCTTCTTAAGGGTCTCTGCCTGGTGGGAAGTTTGTCTGCCTAGGTACAGCTGAGGGACCAGTAAAGTGTCATTTCTAATGTATGAGAAGGTTTCTCTAAGAGTTATTGTTGAAGCAGTTGGCTTTGTCTCAGTCTCTTTCGTATCTTCCTTATCACTAAAGTCACTCTTATCTATTAATTTGCAAATTTCCTCAAAATTATCCTTGATATGCTCTGGGCTGTAACTAGACTGACCTTCTAGCAAGGAATTATTACTATTGATCCTAGATACACCTTGGGTAGCATTTTTTAGGGCGTCTCTAGTTCTAGTAGGAATGGTAGATTTGACCTTCTGATGAGAGGGCTTGTCGACTCATCAAGAAAAATATTTTTTCATGTAATCCATATTTTATGAATATAATTTACTGGGGTTTTGGGGTTTTGGGGTTTTGGGGTTTTGGGG